TAGCGACGCTAATATGTTGAATGTTGAAAGTTATTGAAAATGACAGTCTGGATGAGAAAATTTCAATTATTTATTATTTACTTTTACAGTTTTGGCGCAAACATCTTACATAATATCGCTTTAAAATACAGAACAATCTACATTGTTCTTGAGCGATGACTTGAGAAGAAACATGCCTTTAGGAGTGTTCTCGGCGTTTGTCTCGATACCTGTTCCTGTGTACGAGCCAGACTCTGACAGAACGAACCACCACCATAAATCAAGCGGCAACACCACACGGAGAGAAGTCTGTCTGACACGGGCAGGAAGCTCTCAGCACGTTCGGACTCCAACCTGAAACTACTTCAGTAGCTCGGTGGCCTGAGGCTCTCTTCCTGGCGACTTGATACCGATCTTGTGTATACATATTTGTCCGGTAGCAAGTCACGATCTTCAAGGAGTTTGAATATATATATAGAAATATGATTGCCAGGCAAGGTGTTTGGTACGTTATGCTGAGAGGGCCCTCCGATAAAATGTCACATTGTGATTTATAGCAATGGTAGAAAAAGAAAAGAAAATAGGAAAAAAAACCTTTGCGTTTTCGATTCCTTCTCGTAAAGTAGATAGATTATCAGTTTTCTTGACTGAGCGTAATTTTTTTTTCTGACTTCTTGTATTCTGATTTTTATTTAGTATATTTAGACACCATCATGTGAAAAAAGCATATTCTGTACCCCATCAAATATTGCGTTTGAAAGATGAAGTGCACTTAAGAGTCACTAGACTACAGCTTAAGTCAATGGCCAAAAGCTTCAAACGGGCGTTACTAATTGGAAAGAGCAGCTGCTATGTCAGGTTCGCTGAATGGGACTGCAGCACCGGTCGGTGGGTGCCCCAGACAGTTGCTAAAGAAACAAGGGCACGAGAACAGATGTATCGGTCTCCTGTGTTTCAGCCTGGGGACTGGTGATGAGACCGTCGATACAAGTATCGGTTGACAATCAGTGCATTGTGGCACACGCACGTACGCACGCACGCACGCACACACACACACACACACACACACACACACACACACACACACACACACACACACACACACACACACACACACACACACACACACACACACTCACTCACTCAGCTCACTCACTCACTCACTCTTGAGTTTCTTTCTTATCTTAAAGCCTAATTGCCAAAATGACATGCCAAAATTGAGACGCCCACATTTTTTCACCAACGATGCACTTTTGTCAGCACTCTTCAGAACAATCACTATTTTGTCTGTGACAGCGATATTCGGCAACTTTTCCCGTGTCTGCAAAAAGTCCAAATCTCTTCGGACCAATTACTGCCCCGGACTGACAGTTCGTCAGACCGACTCGATTTGTCAGAGTATCGCTAAGACATTCCAGACAGAGTCGTGGGGAGTTCACTGTGGTGGTAAATATTAGAAAAAAAAAGATCGTCTGATTGGACGGAATATGTCATATGCATAGGCTCTAGTTTGAACTGATATTCTTGGCTTCGGACCTGAAACATACAAACAGAGAAAAACTTGATAACGCACAGGAGATGGGCTAAGATTCACCTATGGAGTCTTTTCCAATCCTCGTTTGGTCATGGTGGCAGGACGTTGATGCCAAAGTAAAGTATCTGTATCTGTATGGCCGGTATGACCGCCCTTCGGCGTGACACACCAGTTAAAGTGTGGGTAAGTAGTGTCAGCAATACTTTTGTTTTTGTTTTCTTAATATAGATCTGACACAGACCTGGACTGAGGATCGTCTCGAAGCCAAATAAAGCAGACAGGTTTAAGTTCACAGCACACTGTAACGTGTACACTGGGAATACAGTTCACATGAAATGAAACCCATGTCCAAATCAGGAAATGCTGATCTCACAGAGTAGGATATGAATATGTCAGGCTTTTACTAAGAAAATAGTTCCTGTGCTCTTCTTCGAATCCATCCCGCATGTCTCAACTAAAGGATTCCTTTTCTGGGAATCGCGGAAGTTCCACTTCGCTCTCTAGTTGGTCATTATCGACATTGACGGTCGCATTGGTCGACTGTATTATTGGTCGGAGAACACAACTTTCTTTTAAATGCGAAGGTATGAAATTACTATTTGTTTGTAACAGTGCGCTAAATCCAAGCCCTAGGACAGAGTACCCCCCCCTCCTATCGCGTGCCCTTTGGGTGAACCCTCTGTGGTCACTTAACACGGATCATCGTCACACACGGAACTGAGTCGTTGTGTCCACAAATAAAACAGTCCCGATTTGCGCTGGTGTTCAGCCGTGAACTTGGCCCGAATCCAGGGGAGTTGACACCGCGTAAGCACGCGGGCCAGTGCGTCTGCGCGCGAAGCCGTACACGAGGGTTGTACATGTTTTCTTTCGTCTCCAGTGGGTCCGCTGGGTCTGGTGTTGTTCTGGCATCGTTCCCTTTCAGGTACGATTCATTAACGAATGCTTGTATAGTTTATGACAATGCTCGGGTGTGCTACGAAGTGCGGGTTTTAAAGCTTGTGGTTGAGTGTTTTAGTTACTGTGGTGTATTTTATCAACATAGAAGAGACCCTAACGCCTTGTTCCGCTATATTGACGATATTGCTGATTTTTCCCATACGGCCTCTGCAAGAGACATAGCTTATATTCTAGTGTACTACGCGCGTTATGATCAAATATAGATGTGATAAATAAATTCTGCTTTTGTTTTCATTCCTTTCATAAGGAAGTTATATTGATATTGTTAATGGTTATGGATGTATTCTACTTAATTAAATTTCAACTTTTTGTCATTTCTTCCAACACCTATGAGGTTCATTTTGCATGGAAGATCTTTAATTGTCATTCTACTGTTTTGTCTATTATGGTAGGAGTATTCCCCATCATTCAACGATTATTTTTAAGGCAGTCCTGTCGAAAATACATTTGTACTTTCCGTCTCCCAAAACAGTCTCTTCGACCTTCCCTTTTACATAAGATAAGGTTGTTTTTGTGAAGGCAATTGTTGCCCTGCCGTGCTTTACTTAGCCTTAGCTCAGAATGGGGGTAACCTAAAACGGGAAGCGTGGTGACCCCGATAGGTCTGGGACGGCGTTTAACGGCAGTTGTTTCGCTTCAAATAGCGCAACATACGGATAAACATCAACATGCTGTGTGGCTACGATGAGTGATTTTATTACCGTGAATATTTCTTAGAAATCGCCTTCCTCCTGGCTTCCCAAGACCGTGTTAAGAGAGTGTTAAGATTTATCTGCATGACCGTCCTTGGCGTCATTGAAGTCACACTTTCGTGTCATAAATGCTTGGGTGGCGAAAGGTCAGTGATGTTATGACTGTCACGATCATGTTTTGATATTGACTGCTCTATGACAGTCATACAATAAGGCATACTTTGTCTATAATGAGTCAGTATATTTGGCACCGTGAAGCTTAAGTTGACTTGTGCGTACAGTGTTACTATTTCTCCAAATGGGAAAGTTGACATCGTTGTTGTACACGAATTGGTGAAAATGTTGCAACTCTCTCAAACATACGATGAATGTGTAGTTCCAAAAATAACATAACGTTAGTACCCAGATCATAGCACTATAATGGCCGTTAACCAATGTTAACATGTGAGAGAACCTTGTCAAACGTACACCAGTTGTATATCCGTCTCTTATAGCCCAAAAGGTTATTGATGTTTATAGATTGTGGTTAGCCTGAGTGCTATCCTATTTGTTTGCCGGGGCTCCCATACTCGCTCGCTCCCTAAAAATGTAGACTGTGGTTACAGTAGCGAATGAATGTTATCACAAGGCTATAGGCACCTTGGCTCCCAACCTTGTAGGTCTGCGATGCCTGAAGCAACAAAGCTTATAGCCACTATGTTATTGTGACCTCGCTAGCTACGATAACCTGAACGTACACCTGTTGGTACAACACGACTAAAAGGGCTCCCATGCAGGCTTTCGAATGTGTATAGTCCGAACCTGTAAACAGTCAGGCTTGCACTTGCAGTTGTATGTTAGGAATGTAATGCTTCAATTCCCTTGACCTCAAGTCCCCCAAACAGTATCTAGTTTATCTGGATATCTCAAACCAACCATAAACATTGTTTAAACTGTTCATATCCACGTTTGTAACCAGAAGTAAAGATTCTAATGGCCCATCCCAGACTCACAACAGAGAGCATATGTTCGACATTTCCTGTACAGTTCCTGTGGCTTGTTTCTCGCAGACTTGACCGCCAGAACCTTTAAATAGCACTAGGCCAAGGTTGGTCTGACAGCTCATCTCTCGTGTTATTATGAAGGTTCTACATCTGTGTGCGTTTTTCTTTTCATCTTGACTAGACAGGCCGACCATTGTTTCCATAGTAAACGACTCACAGGCATAAATCTTCAAATTTCGACAACCTTTGTGATGGTGGTAAAAGTTTGGTCCTTGCTCAGACTGTTCCCAAAAGAAGACAAACCTAAGACCATGTCTTCAGATCCTAGACAGCCGACAGATCACCTACATGGGTTTCTACGTGGACAGCTAGTGTCTGAAACATGAAAGAACTTGTAGCAGCCTGTATCCGCTCTAAGGCACAAAAGTACCGAGGAAGGTTATCGTGGGTTCATCGTTTGTCTTGCTTCCTGACTTCATAATTAATCTGAACTGACCTTGGAAAGAAACTGCAATTTTACCCTGCTACGGTCGTGTGGTGGGCGGTTCAACTTTGGTACTACATTTCTCAAGGTTACGGCCGTGTGGGTTGTTTTATAGACCAGTGTTTGTGTTCCAGGTTGTTGTAAATTTCCTATTGTTGTAATTCTACTGAGGAAAGTGAGTTCAACTGTCCTGCTGTGTCAAAGGAACGATAAGATAAGTTGATGCCTGGCTTAGTTGGTTCACACTTGGACATAAAGAACAATGTTTTTGTTTGGCCTGTTTATTTTACAGAATTAACGACGAGTTGGCACTAGAGAATGAAGACCAGTGACTGTTTTTGAACGACGAGTCACGTGACCGGACAACCATGATGGTGGGCTTACCCATGATCCTCCTCGCAACTTGGATGACGTCAGGTACCACGGGTGAGTTCTGTTCCGTTCTCTCATCTGCAATATAATTATTGTCAGTATTTTAAAATAAATAGTACGATTCATCCATTAACAAACGAAGTTCACAACTTTCTTGGTAATACATCTGTTTGCCCGATTATCGTATTAACCCTGACCGAAACGCAGGTCCAGAACTGAATCGTTTGTTTCATCAAATCGTCACATCTTGACAAAACCCCCATTCATCTTGTGACACTATCTCTAACCTCACGTCAGGGAGATCCAAAAATAGCTTCTCCTCGCACAACCATGATACCACAGTTTAACCCTCCTGTTGTGCAGTATGGATGGGCGCGCGCACATGTTATTCGAACTTGAACCACTTAAGGTCAATGAATTCAATGTGCAGCTGAGTTCAGGACAGAAAAGGAAGGTGCCATGTACAGTATATACATACAGAGTCATCGAACCGAGGAAATTCCCCTAGTTCTTTTGTACAACGAATATTTGATTACTGTCAGTACTACAGCTTAACGCCCCGTTCAAATGACTGCGTAAGTCAAATGACTCCCAGTAGCGTGCAAGTCGGGTGTACGACACAGCCAGGATTCAAACTCAGGACCTCTTGGTCCAACAGAGGGTCATTAACCACTAGACTACACACGTTGCTTGCATGAGATTGATTCACCAAGTGGCAAACAAACCACAAGTGGCCAGCGATTTGTCAGACACCATGTGTTCCCGGGTACAACATGTGCCTTGTTTTAGGACGTTCACCCGGGCACGCATCAGGTCGGGCGCACAGCCAAACCAAAACATGCTGCATGGCTCCGTGCGGTTTCTGGAAGTGTGTTGTTAAACAGGTGGTTTGACTGGCTGAGAAAGAGTTATGAGTATAAATTGACTACGTCCAGTTTAACCTGGAAGAGTCAAACCTATAAATTTCTATGTGTATGATGACATGATTACTTAGTGACTAATTTTACCAGACTTCCATGTTTAACTATATCCTGTATAACGGGCAATGCTAATTACGTCTTACTCACATGTGAAGATAACATTTGTTTTATAGTAACAGGAGGGATTTAAACTGGTACACACGACTTACAAAGGTAAAAGCGTACAAGCTTTAAGGCGGTATCCACCATCTCAGTTGTTCAGCTACAGCTGACGAGGGCAGTCTCGTGACCAGGATTTTGTGGGAAGTCTTGCTCGATCTACATCTAGAATTATCCTCTTGTACTCACAAAACGTAATGATGAAGCTCTGTACTCTATTAAATTGTGTATTAAGGTACGGTATTGTACTGAATTTCTGTCCCATCCCAACCGTCCCAGCTGCCCCCAGCCCTTCCCCCTGCCCCCTGGGTGAGTTCCCGTGCGGGAACCTGACCCTCTGTCTGCCGCAGAGACTTCACTGTAACGGCCGGGACGACTGCGGCAACAACGCGGACGAAGAGAGATGTGGTAAGTGAAGAAGTCATGGATGTAGATTCTTTATTACATAGGGACTACATGTATGCTTTAGAGATTTTAAAACTATTCTCTAACATGCAGTCTCTAACATTCTTTGATGTATTTCCTTATTTGCACACTGTATTGATTATCCTTAAAACAATTACTAAGATGCCATATAATCACATGGCAAGTGTTTAACGCTGTCCTGAATGATGTGGGGATTATGGCTACACTGTATCATAACATGGTATCCAGTCCGGTCCTCGCATCGCTATTAGAAACAAATTGGAGGTAGTTATGAAGTAAGTTTAAACTGTAATTTCCAACACAACAAAAATTGGACTCACCCAAATTTTCGACTGTACAACTCCAGTCTTTTTCAAGGAATGAGCAATCCACCGCTTCCGTGACGTCACGCAGATAACACACGTGACTCCGTGAGCAGTGGATCATAGGTTGCAGAAAGTCTGTGGCGCCCCCCGTCTCTGTTGAGGGATGGCTGTAAAGCCCTGATGTATATGGCCTCTTTAATCCCTCGTGCAAAAAAGTCTGCCGCAGAGACTTCACTGTAACGGCCGGGACGACCAACCAGAACCCTCCGGAACATACTGGTTTCACCAAAGGACAAAACACCAAAAGAAAGCAAATGTGGGGTGGTGTACCACATACAGTGTCAAGGACAGAATTCCAAGGGCCCATGTAAGGAAACCTATATCGGAGAGACTGAAAGATCGCTCAAGGCTAGGTTCCTAGAACACAAACGACCTAGCTCAACTACCTCTGAGGTTTCACAACATATACATATAGAATCCCCTGGACATTCAGTCTCACTGGACAAAGTAAAAATCTTGGACACAGAACCGGACTTTTTTGCACGAGGGATTAAAGAGGCCATATACATCAGGGCTTTACAGCCATCCCTCAACAGAGACGGGGGGCGCCACAGACTTTCTGCAACCTATGATCCACTGCTCACGGAGTCACGTGTGTTATCTGCGTGACGTCACGGAAGCGGTGGATTGCTCATTCCTTGAAAAAGACTGGAGTTGTACAGTCGAAAATTTGGGTGAGTCCAATTTTTGTTGTGTTGGAAATTACAGTTTAAACTTACTTCATAATGACTTCTACCAACACAGATGAACTTTCAAGATAAAATTGGAGGTAGTGTGAAGTGTTCACCTTAACGGGAAACGAAGGGCACTTTGGAGGTGAATAAGATTTGTACTCTCAGCTTTAAGTCCTTTTAAGTGCTGCTTTCAATTCCATGCCAAGAAAAACACATTGTTTCCAGTACATTTTGGTCCGCAACACGACGCGAAGTCATATCTTGACAGGTGTTAGACCAGCAGTGTGGATTTACAACTGTTGGACATCATCTGTCTGTCCGCAGCACGCAACTTCCGTTGGGGGCAGGAAACATGGTCATTGACCACTGGGGAATCCGTGTCTGTGCCAACATGGGAGGCGTCCAAGTTTGAACAGACTTCAGCGTGTGTTTTGTGTTTTCTTCAGGTGACAATAATGGCTGGGCCAGTGACTTCGACGCCTTTCGCGCCACAGGAACCCGCGAGGAAAGCAGTAAGTTGGGCGCTGCTCAATTGTGCTAAGAGGAGCCGTTCAATTTGCATAAATGCTTGGATGTAACACTTACTATTGCTGATTGGTCGCAACTGGAGCAGTCAAACTAATTCAAATTTCCCTGGTAACTTTCAGGGAATTTTAAAACTTTTTATTGACATTTTCAGAAAATTTATACAAAAAGTAACACATGTGTAACCACAAACTGAAACATAAAATCAGGAGACGTCGACAACATATAATAGCCTAACAAAATAACGAAGAGAACTTAAACCGAAAGAACAATATGTAGTTTACCCCAATTCCCAATATGTTTCTGGATCTTATCTTGTCGTTTTCAGGTCAAGTTTCATAAGCATAGTCATTGACATTAGAGAATCCTTTTCTCCAGGTGCCAGTGACGTCGATGTCCTTCCCGCTACAGGAATACGCGATGGGAACTCAAGGGGAGACGAATCCTGTGGTAAGTTCGACGCTGCTCACAACAGTCTAACCATTTTTTTATTGCAACATTTAATGACAAGACATAGTGTCAAATGGTACACTCACGTTTTGAACTTCTTTTTATGCCTCCACCAACGCAAAAGACAATACATAAAACACAGAACAAGCAATGCACAAATGTACATTAATCATCAGATAATAAATACTAGTAAATGGCCAAATATACGAGTATGCTACAATTCCATGTCCCCAGCTCTGATGTCGGTGCCTGCTCTGTGTACATGTGAGAGGGAGACCTGGGTTACCTGTGACAGTACAGGGCTCAACAACATACCGGGGGACATCGACACCAACGTCACCAGATTGTGAGTATGACGGCACCAAGACATGCGTACTCAACAATGGCGATGTCATTGGTTTGTTTTTCCAAAATCTGTACCTGACCATTCACGTCTCCAGACACGTATTTTTGGAACTGTGTACCGTTAACGTTGTCAACTGCGTTGTTTGGCGCCAAAATGAAATTTCGTATGACATGAAATCGTGGGTGGTCGACGCTCTGTGATTGATTCAAGGACAAAACTCAAGTTTTTGTTTTCCATTTTAACCTTGATGAGAAGAAATTGGAGCAATTTGCAATATTTCAGTGCGGCTTCAGTTGCATTTGTACCTGACATGGTCCAAATTACTATATACAGATATAATCCTTCAGACGTCATTATTTTGTTTTCCAGCGCTGCATATATTGTTTAGTTTCAAGTGTACGTCACTAATTATTTCGTACTTCTGTCTTATGCCAAAAATATCAAGGTGGTGTTTGGTTTTTCCTTCAAGTGACAAATACTCAATGCTTTGTATTTGTTGTGTTCTGTTTTCGCCATCCTATTACATAACCCGATATTTTGAGAACAAGCAGCCCCTCGTGTGAAAACGTTGCCTCTAAAAAACAAGCCATCAGGGCTTCCCGCACTGGCTGCTTTCCCACAGCCACTAACACACGATGAAAGACAAGCGTTCAACACACCCAGTACAAATCACCTCCTCGAGCTGATACCCAGTGGAACAAAGGACCTTCAAGTGTCAGCTTGACGCTGTGCATGCCTCCTGTTGTCTTTCATCGCATGGAGTTCTAATGGCAATAGGTTAGGGCGGCGTTTGGTGTGGCATGTCCAGGATTGCCTGTGGGATTTGATAAGGCAGTGACATGGAGTGGATGTTGTGTAGAAAACCCGTCTTGTGGACACAAACAACACCATACATCACATCATAAGTGCACTCCCGTGGCGACTTATATTTTTAGTTGTATGTAAGCTTGAACAACAGTACATTGTATTCTGTAAAAGGACCCCCTCCCTCACATCTACGATAGCATCATGATTGTGCCGTTAGCCTTGGCCCCTTCGAAAACTCGACATTTAAAAATTGCCTAACAACCACAACTATATCAAGTTATGAAGTCTACCCGTCGGGCAACTTTGACCCAGTTTTGATCAAATATTTTGATAATAGCGTCAAAACCACTGTTTTCAATTCAAGGTTTGTAAGTTTTTAGAGCGTACTTACAAAACGCCAACCGTCTTTGAACACCGGTAGGACATACACAAACAATACCTTGTTATCACAAGAAAGCCCAGTGGCAGCGAGAAACGATGCAGAGGTGAATTGTCTAATGGCAAGACCTCTCTCAATACTCCTCAAAGATGCTGCTCTTGAGATTTTCAAGGACACGCTTGATGACTTAACCAGATCTATGACGTAGTTTTCTAGCGTCACTAAACCTGTCAAACACAACATGACGTTGTCGTTACAATTTGAATGGAATCAAACGAGACAACGTGAAATTTCTTGGTGTTTGTTTGAATGTTTGGCCCTGGAGTAAAAAAAAAACGGGATGTTGTTCTACATCTGGAGTTCTTATAGGGTTGAGAGGGGTAAGGAATGCCTTGGTGCGCCAGCATGCCGCTAGCCTCACCAAAAAGACTCCTACATGCAGGAAACTTTTCACCTGTTAGTGAACTGGATATCCAGAAAGATATCAAAAACCTTTTACAAATGAGCGTTTAACTGACCAATGAGAAACCAAATTCCATGGAATCAGCGAATAGTTGATGGAGATACTGATTGTTTTCTGAGTAGTTTGTCAACCTGCAGTATAACGTGCTTTGGAGTGACGCCAACATCGCGCGTGACAAGTGTGGGTGTGTATCATCAGCTAATTAGATCCCATCTGGATCTAGTTAGTTGTTAAACCTGAACAATCATGAAGAAACGTCACGTACTAACAGATTTTCATCACAGGAATCCTGACGTTCCAGATAGTAAGACTTTAAAAACCATCAGATCTCCTGTCGTTCAACTAGTCGTGAGTGATACGTACCAAGTGTTTTTCGAGGAGAAACTGGTGTGCCAAGCTTATGTGATCAACTATGATCACAATTACTAGACAGCTGGAACGCCTTTAGTTTAAAGATCGATCTCCACTAAGACAAAACAATGATCAGAGAAACGTCACCAAGATTTTTATATTTATCTATTTATTCAGAATTGTAAAAAGACAATACAAAGTGTGCACTAGGCAGTGCACACCTAACACATACCTGGACATATGAGGTAAAAAAAAACAATAAATAGTTAGAACAAGATATCGCCTTTTTTAGATTTTATATTCAACTTACTTATTTTACATGTTTTCCATATTACTCAATTCTAGGAAAATTTACAACGAGACGATTGAAACGTTGCAGAACGACTCCTTTCTGAGCTACGTCGATTTAGAATCTCTGTAAGTACAGTTTATGTGACAGCTTCCCAATGCTACTTACAATTTTATGGGGAAAAGGGCATATCGTTGAGGTTTTGCCCAAAGCTTTGACTCAAATATACGTAAAACAATATCGCAATTTATCATGACGAAGATAAAACATTTCCTTGACCAGCTTCTTACGTTGAAACTGAATCTTCGAGTTTTTTGTGTCCTGCTGCGATATTACACCTCCGCCTCTTTAATGGGACTGGGCCAAACGTGAATGACTATAGAAGTACAGTGTCCCCCGGTTAACCTTCCTCTCAACATTTCAGGAATTTGCCCAGAAACAAGATCCACTTCATCGAGCCAGCCGCCTTCAGGGGGTTACGCAATCTTAAAAAACTGTACGTCCACACTGTGTTTTCTCTCTAAACATAGATTGGCTGTTGTCCAAATGGCGCGATTTCTCATTGGAGCAAGCTCCTTTATGTTTCTTAGAGGATTTGGTTATATAGGAACTATTGTTGCTGACATAGAGTTGATAGAGATGCACCTACGAAACAAAATGCATGTTTCTAAAAGTTTTTAACTGGGCGCCTTTAGTGTTTACATGATAGACAGCTTCAAAATTTGCCTGACAACTTTCAGGTTCAACCAATCAACATGATGGACATAAGATCAAACTTAAGTTCCCTTTGTTCCACACCGTGTTTTGTCATTGAACTGTGTTTTTCTTTTTACACAAGAAATCTCCAGGGAAATCGAATCAGTTCCTTCCACGTGGACACCTTTGCGGAGCTGCACAAACTTTTTCGGCTGTAAGTAATAATAGTGCATAAAGAGACTCTTTTTACGCAACCAAGTGTTTAAGTGTTTTGACTTATATGTGCCAACCTGATGAACCTATTCACGGATGCAAGTAATATAATCTTCATTCTGCATCGACACAGATCGTATCTTAAGGAATGTGGAGTCTGATATTTTCCTTCCTTGCAGATTCCTATCACACAACGAACTAGAGACGCTGGTACCGGGAACCTTCAGGAATCTACACCAACTTGAATGGCTGTAAGTCAGACCCTCCCTTATATGGGCATTTGCTTTCACGTGACAATGACTAAGTATTGCCGGCCATCTTGGGTGATTGAAACTTGAAGTTGCTCGGTATATTTAATTTTGTATATGTAATTTCAATCACGTATGCCATTATGCACATGAAAATTATTCTTTCAGCATGCATGATGTCTGTGAGTTACGCACAAACATTCATGCTTAGTTTTTATGATAAAGCCCTGGCTATATTCGTGCATAACAAGATGTATGTTGTAAGAAATTTTTTCTTGATACGTTGCAGGTATCTTGAAGATAACAGGTTGACGACAATCCAACATGGCACCTTGAGTGGGCTGGGAAACGTTCACTGGTTGTAAGTTATCAGGAAAAAAAATCTTAAATTCAGAAACGTTGTATACTTGAATCATATTTTATAAGCCAATAGCTATCTAAGATATTTACATGTAAATTGGATTCTTTGCAAGGGCAGGGGTACGATACTTAATTCTGTGATGTCCTCATTATAAGGACTGGTATAATTACCAGACTATCGACGAAGTAGATTCAAACAAAAACGCCGATGCAACTGACAAGTACATTCTTCCCTCTTATCAAGGACTCTATGCTCTTATATTATACCTTTTCAGAGGCCTTATGGGAAACCAGTTGCAGAGATTAGATGGTGGGGCAATCTGCCAGGACGCACCTTCTATCAGATGGCTGTAAGGGATAGTCCATCGTTTATAAACGCTGTAATATCTTATCCTATGGGTTGGTTAAACCTGGACGTTGCCAGGTAAATTTGAACCTGTATATTAGTAATTGCAGGCTTGCAGTGGTTGTGGCATATACGCATGCCGCCATAGGAATATGCGGGGCTGACTCTAAACCACGTTCAACAATCCACCACGGTGGCATTCAATACTATGTGTATAAATGGATAAAGTTGTAATCATCGATGCTTATACATTAGACGCGAAAATAAGTAGGTATTATCAATGTCAATGTTAAGGAAACCGTGTTCTTTTCCATATTTGTTTCAGAGAACTTGAGGGGAACTCTCTCAACAATTTGACATCCGGGACATTTGAAGGGTGTGGTAGCATCACCGTCTTGTAAGTGTCGGCCATTTTGAAATCGCTTTCTTGTCACGTGCACGTGTCATCTTATATATCTGTAGCCTGAGTTTAGTATTTGGGTATATTACCTAACGATCGTTGCGCCGTTGTCAGTATCACTAACTAATTCATCGTTAAAGCTTGTAATGTACCTTTTGTAAGCTGCTTAGTGATTGGCGAGTTATGGATACACTATTTGGACGAGATATAGTATAACTATAGTATGTTAGAATAGAATATTTGTTTCTAATGATATTTCTCGTTCTTTGCCTTGTAGGTCTCTTCGGAACAATAGGATATCGACGATTGAACCCCATGCGTTCGACAGCCTGTCTCAGCTCATGGAACTGTAAGTTGCAATGTCAAAGTGTAGCTGACCCACTTCGGACTTAACAAATCATGAAACAAAGCGTATGACAAGCAATGGCCTTCAAACAATTCTTTCCTCTCGCCCCTCAGGGATCTTTCAGTGAACAACATCTCGACATTCCCCTCCAAACCGTTCGCCAGGCTGAAGATGCTGGACAGATTGTAAGCATGCCTTTTCTTTACTTTGCCTTAGCTTGTAACACAATATGGATCTCGAGGTTACAATGATACCGACAAGAGATATCAGTTTATGACTTATGTTGTTCTCACTACGCCCCAACATATTTCCTATGTGCTACATTCTGTAGATCGCTATCTACGACATTACTTTGCCTCAGCTGTACATATCCTTTTGTATTGTCTCTCGAATAAGAATGTGTTGATCAACTATTGGCCCCTTGTTCACTGGGGAAATTCGCAATCTTCACATATATTTGGTGGAAACACACCATCTTATAAAGCCCATCTTTCACATTCCTTACAGGAATATCTCGATCAATCCTCTCCAGTCATTGGACGTAGACGCCTTTGAAGGACTCGTCAGCATGAAGTCACTGTACGTAACTTTTATCTTTCACGGTTTCAAGTCGTCATTCACTGTATTCACTGCATAGAGATGTGCTTGATACACCGATAATAATGATGCGATACTAACGCATTGGCTAAATATCCATTGACTGTGATTTGTTTATTATGTCCACTGCTATAAAGCAGGAAGTAAACATTAGCAAAAATAAAGTTATACAATAGTTATTGAATATTCACCTACTTACGGGTTTTCAAAATGTGGATTACAGATCAATTACAGATGTGGGCGTGGCCAGTTCCAGCCTCTCCACAGCCATGTTTAGTAAAGCCGGCAGTCTGGACCACATGTGAGTCAGGTCTAGTTTGGAATCTTCACATCCGTCTTAGAAATTGGAGTTTGTTGGACAGTTTTCTTAGACTGTTACGACTTAGGTATCAACGGGACAGCGTAACTAATGTCGTACGTGATGAGTAGTAAATTCATGTAGAAATGTTGAATACATCCTGGTGTTGAAAACCTTGGCTCCATGTTTATTCTGAATACAAGGGGGTAAGCTGGCAGCTTTTGTATTCACTTGATTTTAAATTTTCTCTTCAATCATAAAGTCATGAAAATGAACTCTTGTCTACTATGCAACCATTCCAGATACTTCAGTAAGTTCCAGTCCTGTAACTTCGCCCTGCACGTGCGGGACTGCGAGCCGAACTCTGACGGGATCTCGTCCTTTGAACACCTGCTGGCGCGGCCGGTGTTGCGGCGGTGTGTGTGGATCATCGCCGCGCTGACCTGCACGGGAAACACGTGCGTCATGATCGGCAGGTCACTCATCAAACACGAGAACAAGGTCCACTCGCTCTTCATCAAGAATCTTTGTGGTACGGTCATATTTAAAGCTGGTGTGTTACGCCGAAGGGCGACTATACCGGATGTACAGATACAGATATAGCTATTTGTTAATAGATTTTTCTTCTTCTTACACAACCGGTAAAGCTTCTCACCTGCTTACGTTTCGATGTCTATCAGACACCTTCTCCTGAGCTTCTGACTGGAGTACTGCCTCTCGCCGCTATATGTAGCCGGCGAGAACACAATCCCAAACGTGGCTAAGTTTGTATCCCCCCTCGTCCCGGTTCATCAGTGGGGTTGACTTTCTACGGCCTGATAAAATTATTTTCGGAAGGATTATATTTCTTGTGAGTTGTGACGTAGGTACTATCCACCATCCTAGATCTGCAAGCTGCAAAATCAGAGTTGAACATTGTTAAGTCTTGGCTCTTGTTTTACTTTTTTTACTGTCAAAAGACAACATCGTTGTTATAAAATGTCTCACTGTATTGTTGTTCTTTCAGCTTCAGATCTAGTGATGGGCATCTACTTGTTGATCATCGGCGCGAAAGACGTCATCTTCCGCGGTACTTACAACCGGCATGCCTTAGACTGGAGAGAGAGCTTCGGCTGCCAGTTCACAGGGTTCCTCGCCATGCTTTCCTCGGAGGTGTCGGTCCTCCTCCTGACCTACATGTCCGTGGAGAGGTTCCTGTGCGTGGTGTTCCCGTACCGGGACAGGAGACCGAACGTGCGGCAGGCAGCCGCCGTGCTCATGGCGATCTGGCTGAGCGGATTCTTCCTCGCCTTCTCGCCGCTGATCGGCCACGGGTTGGGTTACTTCGACAACTTCTACGGCAGCAACGGCGTCTGTTTCCCCCTCCACCTGCACCAGCCGTACCTGGAGGGCTGGGAGTACAGCGCCTTCATCTTTCTCGGCGTCAACTTCACCTCCTTGGTGATCATCCTGGCAGCTTACACGGGCATGTTCGTCTCCATACAGAGGACACGGCGGTCCATAGCGTCTTCCTTCACCACCTTCGGAGACATGTCCTTCGCTACCAGGTTCTTCTTCATCGTGCTGACGGACTCCCTGGTCTGGATTCCCATCACTGTGCTCAAGTTCCTGGCCTTCACGTCTCTGAAAATACCAGGTACATTTTGGTTGGGGGTACTTTTCTTCTCCAGATAAATGCCCATGAAAATCATAGACAACACACGTTCTGACGGCGGTGTTCTGTAAACGTCATGTATCTCAGAGAAAAATGACGGACATTTGGCCGTTTTGTGGCTTTTTGTTAGATATAATAGCCCTTGTTGTCTAAGTAATTTTAATGGATTTTAGGATGTTATATACCTTTTTTCTACTATGCTCAATAGTTGTTGCCATGATTTGTTCCTTGGTACAATTGTCGTAGAATAACTCTCTTCTATAAACAGCACCGATGCTCTAAAACTGATCGTTTTTGTTTCAGGTTCCATGTACGCCTGGATCGTGATCTTCATCCTGCCGATTAACAGCGCCATCAACCCCATCCTGTACTCCCTCACCACACGGACCTTCACCGGCGCGCTCTGCAGCTTCGTCAGGAAGTTCCACCTCAAACATATCCGCGCGTCCACCAGCAGACCGCTGGTCCTCAGGGAACAAGGTGAGGCAATGATACACAAAACAGCTCTCAGAACATTAGTACACTTAAAGCCTTAACCTCTGCCACATAAGTCGTAATGACTGCAGCAGATTGAGCTAGCAATGGCCCACCATGTTTAAAAGGTAAAACTTTTGTTCCAACAGTTTTAGAGAAATGTTTTCACCTCGAGCTTTCGACCAGTCACTTTGGTCTTCCTTCAGCTGGTCGAAAGCTCTAGGTGAGGACATTTCCCCTTTGTGTTGGAACAAAAGTTTTACCTTTCAACATGTAACTTAATGATCTATAGTTTCATGCGAGTCTCACTATTATTCAATGGAAAGGTCATAGAATCTTGTTCGTCATTGCCTCTCTACAAGTCTTAATGATTAATATATGACGTACGACTAAATGGCAGCGCATTTCGACACAGGATAACGATGATTGTTCTTTCTCTCTATATATCGTATTAGTGAAGCGTTCGTCGGATTCCGACACGTCGGCTGGCACCACCTGCACGACTGCGTCACCGTTGACGAGCACATCCAACAGGGCGTCCTCAAACGGTACAGTCAATGGTGCGCCCTCAGGTAGCTTGGGGAGGAACTGCACCCTGGACAGCGTCCCGGAGCGGAATTCCAGCGAGGATGGCGGATGGGAGTCTATTAAAACAAACGGCGACGATGTGTTCGAACCGTGACATTGATGGAACTCGCGTTATGTGTAAAGGGTTCCCAGAAGGAACTACTGAATACAAACAGAGGGCGAGGTACCCGGAAGTCGGTGCAGAAACTTTACCCCACAGAGTTCACCGTTCGTTGTTAATCCCGAGGCTGGTAAGTTACCGACGAAATCAAGGAAGGAACAAGCCCTGGCTCTGATAGGACAACGCCCCGCATATTTCGTCAATGCAGTTGTCAGTAATTTAAAGCGTTTTGTCTATGTGAGCCGTACGTAGTGCAATTTGTAACCTCAATCCAATATACGGTATTTAACTGCCATAAGTAACACATGTAAACCTTATATTGTTATGTCTCATTGTGGCATGTGGATACGCTATATATGACTTAATGCCAGCCATGCGTGCAGTCATGTTTATTTTCAGTTTGACCAATGCCATTAGTATAGTATAGGGACATCAGGCCGGCAAAACTGCAATTATTATAGTAAAGCCGACTTTGCCATGTTTTATACAAATGTATCTAGTATATTATCTGGTGAGTCAAGCGTGGACCAAATGTACATACCAACATATCAAATGTACATAGAATCTACCTCTACAACTTGGATGTGTAGTTGAAAATGAATGGTTCAGGCGTTTTCGTGGTCATGTAAATGAGCATACCTTTTTACTTTGTTTTATTATTTCTACATCAGAAATCATATACACTGCATCAGTATCATTAAACTTGTACATGTATACTATATCTGCGACGTATCTTGATATGAGATACCAATTATTTTCATTGCTTTTACAACACACACTTAGACCGACAACTAGCGGTTCTGACTAACAGCGTTTGGAAGGAAAATGATAGACAAACAGACATTTGTTCAGCATCATCTTGATTATCTCTTGACTCACTGGGTCTTTAAGTAATCAGAATTACCTGCACGTATCAATGGGGACCCCTAGCGATCCAAATTATTTTGCCCCTGATCGCGATACGGTTTTTCCTGCAATGCTAATTTTGGCCGTTTGGTGGCGCCATTTTGGACCGTGTGTAGGATGCAAAGTTTCTTGTCGAAGTGATCAAATCAAGGATCGAAATAAATTTTCAGCCTTGTTGCAAAAATGGCATTATAAGACAATGTTTTTTTTTTAATTCTTGATGAAAATTGGTGAAAATAAATGCGCGCGCGGATATCGTTCATAATTGTTGTTGTTGTTGTTGGCATCCTTTCGTCTCTCGTTCATAATACAACATCCTATTCACGGTGTATTACCGGGTGTAACCTCTGCTGTGACATGCCATCCTCCCAACATTGAAAAGAGCAGATAGGAAAACAAAGATTTTGTTTCCCATCTTTCATGCCTGAAGATGAGAACGCGCACATGAAGCTCACGTATCACCCTGACATATGGACGCAGCAGATCATGAGATTAATCAACTCAGCTGATTGCCTACCTACTTGGATTAATAGCTTGAATTGCTGGGAAGATTCTTTAATTTCCCCAAGGAGATGGGTACATTATTTTTCCACAGAGAATTTCGGGACAATGCCTGTGTACATAAGACCGCAGTAAGACTTAATATAGTGTTTTGGGCTGGCCTGAGGGAAAAAGAACATGGGCTTTAATTGTGGAGTATATAGAGGTCATAGTTCTTGACCATTTTCTTTTCCATAAGTAAGAAACGTATGACAATATGAATAGAGACATCTTAATTTTGCAGCCACATGCAAAATTCACAGGTCGGCCCCCCATATTCTACCCCGACATTGTATGAGAGTAAGTTAAGTAGCTAGGAACATAACCCCTCTTGTGCAGGAAACGTAAGGCAATAAAAGAGGGATTGGCACCCTTTCAAATCTGACAATGAAAGGTTTATATCGTGTGCAATAGTTAATCACTCATTTAGGTACTTCAGGCATCCAAATTACCCACTCAAAGAGCTCCGTTAAGCCTTCCCCAAGTTTGGTCTTATCTTTTCCTATTTTATTTATAACCACTCATTCCTTAAAGTGGCCAGCAGACCTTTAAGAGGTGGTGAGATATTGATCGGTGTAGTCATACATCCTACAAGATATTATAGAAGAAGGTGACTAGAATACATTTCCTCCGGGTTTATGTTCAAGCTTGCAGTATTGCAGACAATGACCATATATCCAACAAAGCCATTATCATTGTAACTCCATAATGTCACCTCTTACTCAGCAATTGGACGTTAGTCATGAGAGGAAGTTACTTTGTCAGATCACTTTCTACGTGAAAGATGCAAATAAAAGGCGATGATCGATATCCAATGCGCAATTATGATTTGATGTGTCCGGGAAAGGCCTAACATTTTGCACTAAAACACGCACTAGGATGCTTTTCATGGTGTAAATTTATGGAGAATGAAGTATCCAGGGAATGTTTTATTGTAAAACGCACAAAATGGGAAGTTTTCTTGCGCTCCGAGTAAATCGTATCGAGTACCAAACACCATCCTTCACATCGCCTTGATTACGGAAAGGTTAACCGATTCCGGTGCTTCAAGCGGAAGTAATTCTGCGGAAAAATGGCAGGAGAGGTGCTCGATCACGTCTGACTGCCGTTTGACTCACACTTTGTAATGAGGTATGTTTATACATTTGAAAGAGTAATGTAGATCGCTAATGAACAACAAATTTAGACGTCCGGCCAGCACAAAATTACCAAAACAAATTTATGCCATACTAACCCTTTTGCAACTTTGTTGCATGATTCCGTGTAATAGCATATATATGGGGAAGAAAACCATATTTGACACTTCTTATTGAAAAACGATACCTTTAGGAGGAATCAATACCGAGATAATGACACATGTCCTTCACCAGCCAGGGAGAAGTTCGCACAATATGTGTTTGAAAAGGTCACGGCTCAGGAAAGGTGGATTTAAAAATGCCAGGTGTGAGATCCCGTCGGAAGTAAGCCCAGGGGCGGGGTCGTTGTAAAATTGAAAATAACTCCAGATTACTTCGCTGCTAGGCATCTTCAAGAAGATGGACTCTCAAGAAGATAAAAGATCCGAACTTTTCAACTTTCTTTTAAGAAAGATACATAGGATACTCGGCATCTTCATTGTCATATCTAAAAATTCAATAAATGGAGATGTAGAATATTATGGGTGTTGGCACTCACGTGACCATGGCCATATAGGCAATGTCCGCCATGATGGATGGTTTAACTTGAACGTTGCATGGATTTTCAATTATGTTCACGAACTTATTATGCCGAGGCAATTAAAGTTGCAGGTCTCCTAAATATATGCAAACATCCTATACCTGCTGTGTACCGCGCTCTGCACGTAAATGTCATCAGCCACTTGAGCTATCCTTCTACACCATCTTCTGTATGTGTTCTTTAGGACTTAACAGCTTAGTACAAAATTGTGACAGAGATCAACACATCTCGAGATAAGGAATTGTAGCAATAATCTCTACACTTCAAGGGCTTTAGACATCCGACAGCCGAAGATGGTTTCTAGATAAAGAGGAGAACAGGAGAGGGTAATTCTCGTCGGATTAATTTACGTATTCAAGAAGAGCAACGGAAGATGCAAGACCGATTCAGGAGATTAAAAATACACATCAAACATTGTTCATGCATTAGTTGTGATATGTAAGATACGCCAAAAAACGAAAGGTAGTGGATGCTACCTGAAACGTCTAACCGTTTCCAAAATCATATCCAGTTGCTCGAGAAACTGTTTTGGCATCAGTTGTGATAGTTGTGGGCTTTTCTGACATCGTGGGATTTATATAGCGTATATCCAAACTTCGAGAGATTCTCTACTTTGATTGAAGACATTCCTTAACGAAAATGTGTCGGTCATCTAAGAATCAGGAAGTTGGGTCACGTTTGTGCTCAGAAAAGACTAGCAGACAGAGATGAAAATGCAGCCTCGGAGGAAGTCTATATAACATCGCGGGTGCGTTAAGTGCCTTTATCAGATAGTTAGGAAACATGTCCAACTGAAAGGTCAGTGCATTAGTGGCTTCTTCCAGTTCGTCTAGCATGTAATCGGAATCCTAAGTGGCGTAGTTTTTTTTTCTATTTTTAAAGATTATTGTTGAACCCGTAACGTTTAAAGGTCCCTGAGGTCTGACATGTGGTGCCACCGGGTACAACGTGAATCATCATTACCAATCTCAGACAGGAAACGCGCCCTCAGGGTAGGAACTTTTGATTAACTCAATTTACTCAAGCATTTGGTTCAACTGATGAGTGGACCCGACATGTTGAATTGTCCCCGTAGATAGGATCTGTACTCTATTATCATTATCATCAGCGGCAAACAAATCCTTATTGCGGTCAGTACACATGATCTGGTGAACCGATTGGACGTTTCAAACAACCAGGTGGATGCTCAAATTTCAGACTTTGTTGCAATTTTGTTCTTTTTTTTTCAATTTAGTACCAGATTTCGATTGCTACATCCAGGAGGGTAACCTGTAATAAATCTCGAGCAGCACTGCGCCCAAGTCGAACGTTATGTCGGCGTCCCAGTCAGTGAACTTGACTTTGATTACACTCCGTACTCCATCATGGAGGGACGGACTGACTGTAGCCGGGGAAAGTTTCCACAACATCCGCGGCAGAACACAGGTAATCAGCTGTCACCATGCCTCGCGCGGTCAGATCAGGTGGGGTTGGTGCTGTAGTTTGGATGTTAGAGTATTTGTTTCTTGCGTTGTCACGTTACGGGGTTAGTTTCGAGGTCATTGCACCTGCATAAATTCTTCCTATCAAAGTTTTAAAACAGCATTGTAACACAGACATCCTGTTCCTAACAAACAGCCTATATCTAACGGTGTGCATAGTGGAACATAGACTTCGGGGCGATGATGTAATTATATTCAGCAACTCGTTCTGACAACGCAACGGAGCAGCCGAAGTGAGAAAAACTAGATTAGAAATTCAGACGAAGTTGACGCCAGTGATTCCTACAATGTATGGGTTCATTGATGGTAAGATGAAGTCCCAACACCCCCTTGAAGAGAGTCAGTTTCTAGCGTAGTGTCTACGTACACGTACCGTTAGCTAAAGGCCGTCTGTTAGGCACAGGACGTCCGTGTTACAATGCAGCTATAGTTGTTTTCAAACAGAACTACAAACATTGCAAGTGCAACGACCTCACAACTAGCCAAACCGTAACGTAACAAGTTAAGAAACAAACACTCTATCAGGAAAACAACATCACAATAGCATTCTCACGTCTGTGAAAATCAACTCCTGCCCACCATGCTAAACTTCTAAAAGAAGGCTGCCAATAATTGCATTACAGACGCAATAGCCAGCATTTGCTCGCTTCATTAACCGTACGTCTATTTATGTCAACAGGAAATCCAATCACTATACCGACGGGGAGGGTTCCCGTGGTTATACAGGGACTTTTATTCATGTGGGAAACGTTTAGGCCGCAGCAATTTGCTGTTTTAGGCAATCGACAGGGTGATTTTGTTGCTAAGATGGAGGAGGAGAAACCTGGGTGTCGAAGGAGGACATTTAAGGTCATGGACAAGAGTAAGGCTTGAACACTTGGCATCAGAATCAAGGGAATAAGGTCGGAATTATCCTGCTTTGATTAAAATATTTTTCATACCCAGTATACATAAAATAATGACGTTTGAAAAAGATATGATGACCAAAGAATTACAACATTTACAAATGGCATTTTAAGTATTTGCATTGCGTACGTAAAGACAATGAGTGGACGTCTGGATGTGCTATAACGGTCACGACAAAATGTTGATGAATGTCACATAGACACAGCAACGATAAAGTAATACCAAACATTACGATTTCACAGGTAATGTTTAATGTTCTCAATGTACAATGTATTATTTAGGAAACGATTACTGAAATGATTATCACAGTTCCTTTTGTTGGAGAACAGCCAGAGAAATGTTGTTTTTTTTTTATTTTGGAATCGTCCTCTTGACTAATCCTTGTAACTTACTAGTCGTACCCCACTAGGAAACAAATCAAAGTTACTATATATGATAGAGGTGATAGAGGTAAAAAAAATTCTTGTTGGCCCTTAACCATTAGTGAGGAACTTTTATGTAAACATGTCGGAATGTGTATGTATGAAAGTCAACAGATCACGTCATGGGTAACCTCATTACAGCGATATGGGAACGAGACAAACAGCGCTGACCTCTAACCTCCCAGATCCGACCAATGGACGGAAAGCAGCATCTTATTTTGTATCAACTGTGTGCTGAGACTGAGACAAAAATTAGAAGACAAGATGGAATTCAAAACGAAGACGAGGAAAAAAAATCAACAAAACTTGAGGACAAGTCATTGAGTACTGAGGCATCATATACTAAAAACATGCCTTGAAATCTTTTCACCCAAATCGTACAGCGACCTTGGACGGGAGGTTACCGCACCTTTGATTTGAACACCGAAGTAAAACGTGTTAACAGCTATTCACCGCACTCAGCCAGGTGTCGACGCGCCATCAAAACACAGTCATTTAGTGAACCTGCCTGGGAGGACACAGGATTTTGTCGCTGATGGAATTCTGAAGCATTGCAGTGCCTAGAGCTTACATATACACGACATAGACCAGTGTGTATAGCTACGTTTGTCCATTATGTAATACTTATAACCCATGCATAATCCATGCCACTCCCACGTGACACAAATAAATAAGTCTACCTCGTCATAGCAATCACCATATTGATCATTCATGTCCCTAGCTGCCTCCAGCCAAGATAGAGTGCTAAAAATTCACGACAGTGTAAGGTTGGTCTAGCACAAACTACCTCAAGCAAATTGTCACGATTCTAAACACTGTAGCGTTTCAGGTTATTATGTACATTATATCACAAAAGAGAATTTACAATTATACCCGGAATACACACATTTCTGCAAGAGTAAACTGTGAAAAGGCGTATCATGGATCCCCCTCGCGGTTGCTCTAGTTGGTACGTCCCGGTCTGGCTACTATGCTGTATAATCGGAGGGTTTGTCGGAAGGCACGTCTTTCTTTGTGTGCTCGTGGTTGTGGTTGTGTAGCGCCATTAAGGTTCGCCCTCCTGCGCAGATTAAGATTTATTTCTGCCGCCCTTCTCCCTCTCTCGATCTGCAACGGTCGGGACGCTGCCGGGTCTTACGGTCACCGTCGCAGACCAGGGCTGGTGCAGGCGGACAGAACGCCAGGTAGGCAGCGCTAACGTCGTTTGGGGTCACCGGTGTACGTGTACGTGCAGCGAACATGCTTGCACTCATAGTGGGACCGCTTTCTGGTTATTATACACACTCTATCTATCCGTTCAGAAAACTAGAAGCTATGTACTAATACTTCAACCATCAATTTCAGAACTTTCCTTGACACATGTCAAGTCAGTTGAGTTGTGATGTTGCAATGTCAGCCAGTTCTGACTGTGACAATGAATATACATGCATGTCTTGTTAAGTTTGCCTCTCTTACTCGAAACGCTGACTTCCCCTGTAGTGACTTTTCCAGGGGGCCAATATTGGAGTTTGATTGGTACAGCCTGACCGAAATTTACCATTATGTTGTCTGAAGCGGGACGTAATGCTGTTGTAGGCGGCAAATTAGTTGGTCACAAATGGATCTTTTCGGAAGTCGGTACGCGACATGCATTCGGTTGTAGGTATGTTACCTTGAAGGCGTGCACTCAGGAACGGAAGGCACATTTTTATTTGACTGGGGTGTACTTGACTCTGCGCTGTAAGGGGGCAAGGTCGGCACGTCGCTTTTCCCTTCAGGGAAAAATACCCAGAGGATTTCGGTATGTCAGGAATTAAAACTCAGCAAAGAATGTCAGAACAATACTGAAAAAGTCTGCAGAGTTTCATGTACATCCAAAAGATAGTGCACAAGAAATACTTCATGTTCGAAGTTCAAATTTTTAAAATGATAAACACGCCTTACCTGTCCAGTGGAGCCCACCTATTGTTTACATAGACACGTTCTGTGTGCTGTGCAAAACATACAGCGGGTTGTATGGTCACTCAGGATCACCGCCCGCTGCATTGCAAAATGAAGACGCCCAGATGAATCAATCCGATTCAATCAGTTCAATGCAGTGCCTTGGTTTAGACTCGATAGCTCATATCGGGTGTAGAATATATGAAAAGTAAGAGGATTGCAGCATCACATGTATCTTGTTTTCGGACTGTTTTAATAAGTCATTAACTCTTGAACCAGTTTCATGTGTTATATTTGATATTGTGCTGTGCGCAATGAAGCCTAAGAGACTTGTCAAGTCATAATTATACTCCAGTGCAAGCCAGACAGTAAAGAATATGTAGGTAAGAGGAGTTAAGAAGGATATGTTTCATTCTGACACACATAGTATATAGAACGTTTACGTAATAGAAATGACGTCCGGTTGTCTCATTTGACATAATGAATCGGCATAGTAACGTTACCCATCTACCGACTGCGTTATGACGTTTACAGGTGTCAAAGAAAGATGATATGTGTATCTTGTCTTACACTTAGAGCCCCACTGTGAGAAAAGAAAGAAAGGAGCCTCTGAAAATCATTGCAACGTACACGTACATGTATTGTCTGGGTTACACTTCTGCTGTGTCGGGAAAAGTTCTTTGTTGACGCAAACAGCCTTAGTATTCAAGGACCAGGCGAGTACAATGTACATGTACTCCCTCAACATAGTTATACAAACAACAGGTGGATTAAGCTGTACACCAAAGCAACCATCATCATGTTGTCAACAGCAAGACGCTGTCAAGAACATATCCAGTCGGTCGGTTGACACACAAAGGAAAAGTTGGGTAAGATTGATGGTATTTCATGAACCATGTATGCTGTATGGTTCAGCAAACCTGTCCAGAATATTGGCAGGGATCCTACATTTCTGAGACTTGGCGTGATACCATGTCAGTCCTCAAAACATGTCCAAGTCCCACAGTGAAGTTTAAACCTGGGGTCGTGTGGCGTAATGGCAGAGTGCTCGACTCGGAACCAAGAGGTCCGGGGTTCGAGCCCTGACATGCCACCGATCTTGTGCCCTTGGGAAAGGCACTTTACACGACTTTCCTCACTTACATCAAGTGCAAATGAGTATTGTCCTGTACTGCATTTGTCCTCTGCGCTGGTGGCGGCATAAAACAAGTTGAAATAACTTGAGTGTGCCGTCACCATGTCTAGTCATTAAATGTTGGACTAAAAAATGTTTAAACCTGATACTAGTAGTGTGGTCACTTTTGACGTTAAAGGTATACATTTTAAAACCATTTCCAGACAAAATTTGTAGCTACGATATATAGTTGTCGTATCTACCGGTTGTTAAATGTTCATTACTATGAGATTTGCATAAAACAAGGATGGTGATTGGAAACTCGAGTAAAGGGTCAGCAATACAGTATTGATTTCATTTAAAGCCGCGGGTCTTGTCTCTTATGTTACTTAAAACCATCCCCCGCCGTACGTGGATCTAATTGCCTGAAGATGCTGAACTTAATACGGGCCCAGCTGCTCCACTGTCATTAGGCACTTTAGGTAGCGTTTGGTTGTGGCGGAAAATAACACGCTAAGGGGGAACATGCGTCATATACATTCAGGCCTTCCAGTTAAGTAGGACAAAACCCTCTGAGTATTTGTATTAAACATCGTCCTAGTGCAAAGATCCAAATGTATTTTGCCGACAGTCTCACAACAGCTTAACGATGGCTGCACAGAGAAACCAGCTGGTGCATCGGGTACTCCTGTTAGCATCAAAGAAGGTTGAAGATGAAAAGTAGACACAGCAAATAGTACTGGGAATAGGAATAGATGAAAGGAATCTTTTCTTGTAACGTAATGGGCAAGACGATTCTATTAAAAGTCCTGAGAAGGGTGACCGTGTGTACTTACCAAAGACCTCTCTTCACTTGAAGACGGGAAAGCAAGACGAATGAACCCGTGACCAAGAGTGACTCGCCCGTGTATGACAAGATAAATACAGGAGAACTTCCTCCATGTAGAACAAACAACGTTTGATTTATGTACACGCGTACGTGAAAGCGTATCTGTCTGTGGCTACCGAGGATACACTTAACGGGCCACGGCGTGTCTGCGTGCTCCGAAATCCGTTGGATTCTGTACGGTGGCGGTACTCACCACTTACGGATCACCAGAATTTGCCCACGTTTTTGCAGGTAGACAGCACGCAATGCCTGGGTTGTGACCGAGGCTAAAGTGCTTTGTTTTTAAGTAGCTGAAGAATTAGAACTCTGGTTCTGTGTTCGTCCCGGAGTTATGTCTGGGGATATGTTTTGTGCAATAGACACCATAAAAGAAGCAAAAAGAAATGGAAAAGAAACACAATTACCCTCGACCCTCGGTTAGCGTATAAACTTTTGCAAGGCCGTTTACCGAGTGGAGTAAAGAAAAGACATTTTCTTGTAGAAACGCGAATTAAGACACAGTTATTGTATTGTTGTGTAATAGATTAACTTTTATCTCTACTGCCCTGCCATCTTTGCCAGATCGAATCTGTATGCAAGACCTGGTGAACAATATTAGCAAAGCTGTTTAAGGACAACTAAAATCTATCATTGTTAGCATTTGCTAAAATTTGGAGAACAAAATTATACTTCATATTTAACGGTACCAATTTGCTCAGCAGTCAACATCATCATTGAGCCACCATCAAATGGCTGCAGTGATTACAAGTTGTCGGAGAAGAACGGAAATTACGTTATATAAGCTTTTAGTACCTCGTTATTAAATGCTAATCAAAGTCGATATGCTGCATCAGTCAACTTTCAAAGAGAGCCGTCACTGCAGTATGTTTCATCTTTGATTTTAGCTGGTCTTGTGGTGTACCAATTAAGTAGCCTGCAGTTGATTCTCAGAACCATCAGTATCAGGTCAATGCATTTACGTCGCCCTTACGTAGGTGAACATCCAGGTAATAAGCAACTGGATTTCCAAAATCATATCCAGTTGCTTGAGTAACTGTTTTTTTTTTTTGGCGATTTTTCTCTTGCTTTGGTCTATAGTATGTTTCATCATTGATTTTTATTTATTTGATTAGGTTTACAAAATACACATTCTACATGAATGGTTTATGAGTCTTTTTGTATGTGACGTGGATAGACCGACCGAAACGTTTCAACCTCATAATCTTCTGCATACTCATGTTTTTCCTAACGTCAGTACGTATGTGTGGGCGAGAGTTGTGGCATCACCAGGCGTCAGTGCCTTTCTGTGCGGCACACACCAGGTACAGACATGTGACTGCAGTTTCTTTTCGTGAGATTCAGTAGACACATGGATCTGACAACCTATTCCTGAATTAGAGTGCAAATAAATTAGTTCTTAAGCGTTGATAAAAGCACGTAAGATTGCTGTGTGACAGTGTGGGCGATGTTGACGTTGCTCATGATCATAACATCAAAATCGCCCCCACATTTCACATGGCATGTGTGTTCATGTGTGTACTTGTGTATGTCAGGTACACTTGGTGCGAGCGATAGAGGGTAAAATTAGAAGAAGAAATCTTGTTTTCGTCGCTGGATGGTCCTCTAGCATACATGGCCATTTTGTACACTTCATCCTGCGTTAAGAGTTCCATTCCTCGCTGTTGTGACAAGGCTTGACTTGGAATCATCTTAAAAGCACTCCATTCTCTTGTAGAACGCTGCTCTTACATGTATATTGCCTCAAACTACAAACTAGAATCTACGGAAAACTTGTCGTAGTTGAAAATATTCTTAACACTTATATGTAACGGAATAATTGTTTTCTCACTGCAACGTACAAAATGTACCGTGCCATCTGTGCTCTAATTTCTGAATTCTACTCCACTTAAAAACCGCAGTCTTTGATTACATACAATTAGAATCCTTTTTGTCAAATCTCAAACGTTCCATCATGACGCAAATTTCTCTAAGACCAAAATACTTCGGTGGAAAGATTTTGCAAATTACACGTTAAACACCTACACTCGTTTTCTCCTACCCACCCTTTAATGAAAGACGTTGATAGCAGACGGGGGCAGACTGTACTTATATAATAGTTGTTGGTCAAATACAGGGCTTGTCGTTTATTGTACTGAACGAAAGTAGACCTCACCGTTGTAAAAAAAAACTTAAGCTTTAGTATAGACGTATATCCTCTCTCCATCTTTACTGAAACTTATCAATACAGCAGATTTTGTCGCCTGGAGAAACTCACTTTATGT